TCTGGCTTGTTGATGAGATGTGTTTTGGGGCAAAAGAAGGTTGTTTGGAGAATGCATTTGGAATGAACGAGGACTGTCTCCCCACCTCCACCCCCCCAAATGGGGTGTCCCCTAAGGCTGCTTTTCTAAGGATGCTAGTCACAATAGTCTTTATTTTTGTGTCTGTGTGAAAGTGCCAAGAACCCTACCCCACGTTTGTAGATCCACAACTGTTTTTATAAGCTGTGTGTGTCCTCTGTATTATTATTAACTATTTTTTAGCATTTGCCTATAACTTATTAAAGACTGATGATACTGTAGCTCTGACCTTGGTCTGGCATTTTCTTACCCAGCCCCAGGAGTAGTCCCAGATTTTTATATGGGTGGCAGGAATGAGGAGGAGGGTGTTTATCTCAAAGCTGAATTTGCAAAGGAAACACTTTATGGGATGGCTGGTGGAAATTACAGATGGAGTTGAAATCGCCCTCTCCCAAGCAATTACCTGAGTTCTGCAGTTTTTTGGGGTGTCCCTTTCTCCTGCTTCACGCCCCTCCCCTCATCTCCTGGCTCTTATGTTGCCCTTCATAGGGCTGGTCTTGACTTTCTAAGTCTCTATAGATAAGTCCTCAAGGAGCCATTCTGTTTTCATCCTCCCCCACTCCTCAGCACTCAGGCTGATCCTTTTTTTTTTTTTTTTTTTTTTTTTTCCACCTTGGGGGATCCTGTGAGAATGGAAAGTAATTCCTTCCTGGCTTTCAGCCAGCTCCGTGTGCTCAATCCTGCTGACTGCAGCTCCCCGGCAGCGGTGGCAGGGGCTCGTGCTGGGGAGGTCTGGGCTGGATTGAGCCAGCCCGGCCCTGGTGACTAAGCTGTGAGTTGCCCAGCTCTGGGAATGGTGGCTGTTCCCAGGAGAGGGGCTGTCGTGGTAGTTTGGGTTTGTGCCTGGTGGGAGTATGGACTGCTGGATGTCTACTCCTCCTCCAGGGGAGGAGGGGGAAGGTGTAGGCCACCCATAGTGAGGATAAGAATAAAATGCTACAGTGCCTGGGTGGCTCAGTGGGTTAAAGCCTCTGCCTTCTGCTCAGGTCATGATCTCAGGGTCCTGGAATAGGGCCCCACATGCTGCTCAGCCGGGAGCCTACTTCCCGCCCCCCCTTTCTCTCTCTCTGCTCCTCTGCCTACTTGTGATCTCTGTCAAATAAGTAAAATCTTAAGAAAAGAAAAGAAAGTGCTAGGGGCGCCTGGGTGGCTCAGTTGGTGAAGCGTCTACCTGTAGCTCAGGTCATGACCTCAGGGTCCTGGGATCCAGCCCCATGGGGGCTCCCCACTCAGCAGGGAGTCTGCCTCTTCCTCTCCCTCTGCCCCTCCCCCTCCTCATGCTCTCTCTGAAATAAATAAAATCTTAAAAAACAAAAGTCTATTGTTGTTAGGTCCAGAGGGCCTCTGCCCAGACTTTCAAGTCTGCCCCTTCCACCAACACCCAGGGCCCACTGAGTCAGAGATGACCAACAATCAGATCCTCCTAGCCTGGGTGGGAGTAGTGGGTTAAAAACACACAATTCTTTCCAGCCCTCAGCACCCCCGGTCCCACCCCTACCCTTTGTGCAAAAGTGGGATCCAGAGCGGGTTCAGAGTCCCCACTCCAGAATCAAATAAAGGAGCTGGGGAGGGAGAGACAGGCCTGTCCTGAGGAACTTCCTAAGGAACTTGTTCCTTCCTAGCCTGCGCCAGCAGAAGCGGAGTTTTGCTGTGGAGTCTGGGCTGGTTCAGATTCGTTCCCGTTCCTGGCTGGCAGGATACGAGTGGGTATGCATGGATCCAGAAGGGTGCCCAAGTGTGCGTCAGCGAGGGGCCTGCTTAACAGAGCTGCTGGGCTGGTTCTGCTGGGGACACGTGCTACCCGGCTCCCCTCTACACACGCCTGTGACTCATCTCAGTCAGTCCTCAGGGCAGAGTCCTCTTCTGCCCGGGAACAGGCTGGGAAAGACTTGGCTAGAAGGTCCTCTGTCCTGCTGGGAGCTCTTTCCTCCTCATTCCACCCCAATAATGTCCTTTTGTCTCAGAATCTTCAAGGACATGTTTTCTCCATTTCTGGTCACCTGGGGGACTGGGGTCTCCAGATTGGAGGAAGTGCACCCTCCCACACCCTGCAGAAGGGCCTCCATGGGCCCAGTTCCTGGTTCTGGCTCTGCCAAACACCTGGCCTCCCTCTCTGGTTAGAAGCATCTTCTGCTCCCCCAGACTCCAGCCCTGGGCAGGGACCGTGGTCCGCAGGAGATTGCCAGGGTCCCAGCTCTTCCCCACATCCTTCTGGCCTGGTGAGGGTGGAGGAAGCGGTATTGGCAGCAAGAGAGCGAGAAGAAGCCAGCTGCGTTGAAGGGGTTGTGGGGAGAAGGGAGTACCGGAAGATTCTGGTAAGAAAGCTCCCTTCTGGTTGGGTGGGGATCAGGAGCTTTGGAATAATCCTCCTGTCTCAGGGATTCTTTTCTTTTTTTTTTTAAATATTTTATTTATTTATTTGACAGAGATCACAAGTAGGCAGAGAGGCAGGCAGAGAGAGAGAGGGGAAGCAGGCTCCCCGCCAAGCAGAGAGCCCAATGTGGGGCTCGATCGCAGGACCCCGGGATCATGACTCTAGCCGAGGGCAGAGGCTTTAACCCACTGAACCACCCAGGTGCCCCCTTTTCTTTCTTTCTTTCTTTCTTTCTTTCTTTCTTTCTTTCTTTCTTTCTTTCTTTCTTTCTTTTTTTTGAAGAGATTTATTTATTTATTTGGGTGGGGAGGGACAGAGGGAGAGGATCTTTCAAGCCAACTTCCCCCTGAGCATGGAGCCCCAGGCAGGGCTTGATCCCACGACCCTAAGATCATGACCTGAGCCAAAACCAAGATGCTGACACTTAACCACCTGAGTCACCTGGGCGCCCCTGCCCCAGGGATTCTGCATGCTGAGCTCTGGACAATAGGCTTGGAATGGGGGTGGGATCAGGGTTGGAGGTAGGCTGTAGTTTTCTTGTCCCAGCTTCTTCATGAAGTAGAACTTCTTCTTCTTCTTCTTCTTTTTTAAATTAAGATTTTTATTTATTTATTTGACAGATGGAGATCACAAGTAGGCTGAGAGGCAGGGAGAGAGAGGGGGGGAAGGAGGCTCCCTGCTGTCAGAGAGCCCGATGGATGATGCGGGGCTTGATCCCAGGACCCTGAGATCATGACCTGAGCCCACGGCAGAGGCTTTAACCCACTGAGCCACCCAGGCACCCCTCAAGTAGAACTTCTTTGAGGCCCTGAGATGGATCTTGAGGAGATACTGAGGGCAGAGGGCCTCAGGGAGCCAGGAGTGGTGGATAGGGGCTGTGGTAGAGGGGAAGGAAATCAATGGGCCCAGAATTTGGGCTCCCCCTGAGCTGCCCTTCCCCCACCAGTCACCTCCTCTCCTTGCAAAAGCTGGATGGTAAAATCCAGGTGGACTGCACTTGCCCCAGGTGCCTTAACCAACCCCCAGCAAGGATGGCAGTGGTGCCTCACCTCCTCTGCCCTCTCCAGTCCTGTGCTGCCTGTGCTCCAGGAAGAGAGAGAACAAAGAGGAAGGAAAAAAGTCTCAAGGCCTAGAGGAGGCAGCAACTTGCTCAAGAACTCATAGCTACTTAGTGGCACATCCAGATCCTTCCTCCCAGGCTGGCTTTTTGTACTCCCAGGGCCAGAGAGATAGGAGATGGGCAGCAAGTCTAGGAACTCAGAGCTCCCCGCTCCCCTTCCCTCCCTCCCACCCTCCCTGCATCCCCTCTCTGATTACTTCAAAGGCCAGCTTTCCACTCCCCTTCTCCCCTTCCTGAGGAGTCAGGACTTTATCTCCAAAGTCCAGAACTCTGGCCTCAAATCTGGCCAGAAGTCCCCACCCTCCTTTCCCACTGACCACATGTCATCCCAAGTCTTGCTTGAGATGGATTACTCCACGGGGGCCTGGGAAGCACAGACTTCCACTGAAGCGCCGGGGGTGCAAGGGACAGTGTGTTCTCCAAAACAGGCCTTTTGTGAATGGAGCCAGTGGGAGCGGAGGGAGTGAAGGCAGTAACCGAGGCCCAAGCCAGAACTGGGATGTAAAGGGAGGACGGGCTGTAGTCACACATCACTTCCAAGGCTATCGGCCGGGGAGTCTGTGGGTGGGTGTCATGGGACCTCCTCCCCTGGCTAAACCAGAAGAAGGGATTTGTTCTTCCTTCCTTAAAAAAAAAAAAAATAAAAAAAAAATATATATATTTATTTATTTATTTATTTTTACTGTCTTCCCCACCCCACTTGCTTACAAAAGTAACAGATCTTTCTGTAAAGGAACTTAGAAAATGGAGAACCCCATAATCTAAATTTCAGAGCTAGCTAAATATTGGGGGCAGGTTTTTATATATAATCTTTCTGATATTTTTTTTTCCTCTGCATATACAAATGAGGTATGTCTTCATATCCAACATACAGGGAATTACAGGAGGCTTTTGCTTTTCTCATTTATATCTTGGGCATTATTCAACATTGGGACATTGGGGTTTTTCCCATTCTTTTTGATGACCACGTGAGATTCCACTGTCCACTGTTTGAATATGCCATTATTTCTTTTCCTTTTTTTTTTTTTAAGATTTTATTTATTTATTTGACAGAGAGACACAGCGAGAGAAGGAACACAAGCAGGGGGAGTGAGAGAGGGAGAAGCATGAGAGAGGGAGAAGCAGGCTCTCTGCTGAGCAGGGAGCCCTATGCGGGGCTTGATCCCAGGACCCTGGGGATCACGACCTGAGCCTAAGGCAGACGCTTAACGACTGAGCCGCCCAGGCACTCCTATGCCATCATTTCTTTTTTTTTTTTTTTTTTTAAGATTTTTATTTATTTATTTGACAGACAGAGATCACAAGCAGGCAGAGAGGCAGGCAGAGAGAGAGGGAGAAGCAGGCTCCCCGCTGAGCAGAGAGCCCGATGTGGGGCTCGATCCCAGGACTCTAGGATCATGACCTGAGCCGATGGCAGAGGCTTAACCCACTGAGCCACCCAGGCGCCCCTATGCCATCATTTCTTAATTAAATCCCCTGTTAAATCCATAGCGTGTCCACAGAGATGGACCTCCTTGCATATATGTCATGTAATCGTTGTGTCAAAGGGTATATGTATTTCAAATTTTCATAGACGTTGCCAAAATGTACGTGCAGAGAGTGTTTGTGGTGAAAGAACTCTAATCCAGCCTCTTCTTCCTCCATCCCCAGATTTCAAGTCCTCATCAAGCTGAGAGGTGTGTGTGGGGGTAACAGACATTATATAGTGCCCTTGCTTTGGGGGAGGTAAGAAAATCTCCAGCCACTTGGCAGAGGATTTGTGGGCATGGGAAGGAGCTTGGGCTGACTTTCCTGGTCTGGGAATTGAACCACTTGGGGGCTGCCTGGCTGACGGTGGACGTGGGCAGATGGTGAGGACTCCCTAAGCACCCAGCTTCTCTCAGACGTCAGGCAGAGTGGGCGAAACATCTCCGGAAATAAATCCCAGCAACTCAAGGAGGGAGCCAGGCTGAGACACAGAGTGCCTGCTCCAAAAGGAACATGGAGAGCAGCTCTTCAGTCTGAGGAAGGGCAACTGAGACCCTGGACTTCCCCCAGGATACCCCCACTCTTCTAGCGAGGTCCCCCTCCCCCTCCAACTGTTCTGGAGCATGGACTCCTGGAACAGGAGATGGGGAGCAAGTCCTGAAGTCTTAGATACCTCGGCCACTCTGGGCTGTTTGGGGTAACATGCCTCTCTGTTCATTCAGGCCCCTGTGCTAATCTTGGGTCCCTGCCCCTGCAGAACGGGGTGGGGAAGGCAGGAGGGCTTATCTCTCGAACCTCCTACCCCCTCCTTATGAAATCTGGTGAGTAGTTTGGTGGAGTTGTGCTGGGATGACAGCTGGGTTTTAAAGATTGCTGAGAGTGAGGTTTTATGCTTTCAACTCTGTTTGTTTTTGCAAGATTATCCATTGCCTTCCATTCCAGATGCTGACTCTTATCCTTAGGGAGTGAGAAGGCAGAACTGCTTACTCACTTTCTGGAACTCTCCCAGGCTAACAGGGGAGGGACAGAGCCACCGGTCTGACCAGGCAGCACCTCAAAAACAACCCCACAATCAGCCTCAGTTTACCCATCTGTAAAGTGAGGGGAGTGAGTAGACAATATTGGATCTTCTCTGGTTCACTTTCTATGGTCCTCAGTACAAGGTGGGCATGGGGAACTCCTTCATGATCTTTCTGCCTTCATTTTATCACCCTCTGAAATTGCCTTGTTTGCTTTGCTTTTAAGTTTGTTTGCTGTCTGCCTTCATCCCCAGGTTATCTGTTCTGGGAGGACAGCCCTCACTCATTTTGTTCAGCACTGTATCCCTAGGACAGTGGTGGGCGCCCAGTAGGAGCTCATCTTGGATCTGTGGAATGTGGGGTATCCACACAAGGGTTGGAGGGCTGGGGTATCACCTCAGTGAAGAAGTGGTTTTGGTCTTCAAATAGTGACAGCAACCAGAAAAGAAGCTATCAGGCAAGGTTGGAGAGTTTATCTGGGAAGGCCTCCTGGAGGAGGTAAGGCAGATTTGGAACCCAGGTTAAATATTCTGATTAACAAGGGACTTGGAGGACCACAGGCTTCAGAGCATTTTCTTGGCTCTACCTACTGCTCAGGAGAAAAGAACTGAGCGTGAGGTTTAATAGACATAGTTTCGTTCCTCCCTTCCTAGTAATTAATTACCTGACCTGGGACTCTCCCTAGAGTCTGTTTACCACTCCCCTACCCCAGCTCCTCCCAAGGTCACCCCAGGATAGTCAAGCTAGATTGCCATTTTTCCACCCCAGAAGAGCTGAATGTGGGGCTGGTGTCAGGGAAGGGACCCCCAGGGAACTCTAGACCCATGCTGTCCAATATGACAGCCACCAGCCACACGCGGTGACCAAGCATAGGAAATGTGGCTGAACAGAACTCAGGTATGTTGTAAGTGTGAAATACAACAGATGTTGAAGACTTAGAAAGAGAAAAGAATGTAAACTATCTCATTAATATATTTTTTAATTATTTATTTTATTTTTAAAAAGTTGTTATTTATTTGAGAGAGTGAGTAAACATGAGCAAGGGAAGGGGCAGAGGGAGAGGAAGAAGTAGACTTACCACTAAGCGCAGAGGCCAAACTACATGGGACTTGATCCCCGCACCCTGAGATCATGACCTGAGCTAAAGTCAGATGCTTAACTGACTGAGCCACCCAGGTGCCCCTAGTTTTTATTTTTATTTTTTAAGAGGCTCCATGCTCAGTATAGAGCCCTATCAGGTGCTTTAACTCATGACCCCAAGATCAAGACTGGAGCTGAGATCAAGAGTCAGATGCTCAACCACCTGGGCCACCCAGCCACCCCTCATTAATACTTTTTTATGTAGAGTATGTGTTGAAATGATAATTTTTAGCATATTGAGTTAAATAAAATACTTCATTAAAAAATTACTTCATGGGGCACCTGGGTGGCTTAGTGGGTTGAGCCTCTGCCTTTGGCTCAGGTCATGATCTCAGGGGCTCAGGTCATGATCTCAGGGTCCTGGGATCGAGCCCCACATCGGGCTCTCTGCTCAGTGGGGAGCCTGCTTCCCCCTCTCTCTCTGCCTGCCTCTCTGCCTTGTGATCCCTCTCTCTGTGTCAAATAAATAAATAAAATCTTAAAAAAAAAAAACTTCATGAAGATTAGTTTCACCTTTTTTTTTTTTTTTAACCTTTTAAAAAATATGGCTACCAGGGGTGCCTGGGTGGCTCAGTCATTAAGTGTCTACCTTCAGCTCAGGTCATGATCCCAGGTCCTGGGATTGAGCCCCACATCAGGCTCCCTACTTGGCAGGAAGCCTGCTTCTCCCTCTCCCACTCTCCCTGCTTGTGTTCCCTCTCTCTCTGTCAAATAAATAAAATCTTAAAAAAAAAATGGCTACCAGAAATTCTATAATTAGAGATGTGGTTCACATTCTTCTTCTTCTTCTTCTTCTTCTTCTTCTTCTTCTTCTTCTTCTTCTTCTTCTTCTTCTTCTTCTCCTTCTTCTTCAGATTTTATTCAATTTATTTGACACAAAAGGAGAGTACAAGCAGGGAGAGCAGCAGGCACAGGGAGAGGGAGAAGCAGGGAGCCTAATGCGGGGCTCTATCCCAGGACCCTGGGATCATGACCTGAGCTGAAGGCAGATGCTTAACTGACTGATCCACCCAGGTGCCCCCACATTCTGCTTCTATTGACAAGGCAGGTCCAGATCTTTGGGAGGAGCATCATGGGGAAACAAATGGGAGACCCATAGTTCTTCCTTTCTTCTGAAGTCAGAAGAGAAACAGACCAAACTGCAGCAGTCTGGCAGGAGGGTAGACTCTAGGAAGTCCTTCTTGATGGGGGAGAACTGAAAAATCTGCCTACTCTCCTTCCTGGAAAGCTTTCAAAGTAGGTAAAGACTTGGTGTATCTTGAATTATCTTAAAACATCTTATCAAACTATGATTCCCAATGATCCCAACCTGGTTGTCTAGCAAACAATGTTCCTAGCTTCATTCAGGGTGTTTTTCACTCTCTAAAACAGGTCTTTTAACATCTCTTTCATGTGGAGCCCCGATACCTGGAATCCACACAAAAATCCCGAGGTGATTTTATCCGGTGGTTTCTGATCTTTCACCGGATGGCTGTGACAGTAGCAGGAGAGTTGACTGACGGAGTTTGCATCATTCTCTTGCCCTCCCCTGCCGCCTTCCTCTGCCCAACCCTACCAGCTCCCTCAGCCTCCCCTCCCTGTGCAAAGGTCCTGGAACAGGGCAGATGATGGGAAGATGCCAGCCAGCCGGGGGTCTGGATAATCCACAAACCAGATTATCTGCCCCTGGCTTTGTATGTACATAAGCAGGTGGCCTAGATGCAGACAGGATGTACTGGGATGAGCCAAGGGGATAAGGTTAACACCTTGCGTGTGACTGTGTGTGTGTGTGTGTGTGTAAGTGGGGGAGGGGGCAGTTGTACAATAAAAACCCCACCCACTTATCTCCCGTCCTGAGCATTAAGCCAATCAATCCCTCCTTTCAATCAAGCACATGTAATATAATATTTAGCCTTATTGTGCACGGCCATACTGTCCTAGGCACTGGAGCTAAGGTGCGTTTCATACACAGAGAAGGTGTCCGGGTTTCCTGGATGCAGAGCCTGAGACAGGGATTCAGGGAGCACATGGTTTATTGAGGGCACATCTTCAGAAGAAAGGGAGTGGGCAGGGAAGGAGCTAAACAAGGATGTGCTCTCACATTTGGAGTCTAATGTTGGTTTGGTCCTGTGGGGAAGATCTGGTTGGAGAATTGCTCCTGGAAAATATCCCCCAGAGGCAGAGAGCCTGGCCTTTTATACCCCTCAGCCGGCAAACTGGCTGCTATTCGCTCAAGTCTCCAGAGAAGGAGCAGTCAAGAGCCATTGGAGCCAACACTCCCAGCCAGTGGAGAGGGTCTGGTGGGGTGTCAGGGGCATCCATTCAGGGTGGAGCCCCAGAAGAGAAGAGCAAGTGGCCCTGGGCAGGGCCCGAGTCCTGACAGCTGTCTTTGGCAATCCAGTCCTCCTTCTACTCTCACTCTCGCCTCGGCCTCAGCCTTTATCTGCCCTTGTCCTGCCTTGTCCCCAGCTCCTACCACCCGCCCTTGGTTCCCCCCGCCTTGGATGCTGCCCTCTTTCTTCTGGAGATTTATCTGAAACTCAAGATGGAATGCTGAGTTTCTTCAAGAGCCTTCAGGAAGCTGGGGCTCCTGAGTCATCCCTGTGGACTTCTTCCCTTGCCAGTGGGTCAGCGGAGCCCTGCTGCTCTCCCCTAGGCAGAAAGCTTTGGTGAGCCAGGGGAAATCTGAAACACACCCCTTCTCCTGGGTCCTCCCTTTCCTGGGTGTGTCCATCCTCACCTCTCCTACAGAAAGGACAGTTCAGGAGAATTCTTTCTCCAGGCTTGACTCCTACTTAAACATCACAGGATACGTTCTCTGGAAGGGAAGGGTGGGGTCTGGGTTGGCTTCCTTAGAAACTTCAGGCAGAAAAGAAGCCTCCTTTCTCTGTCCCCTCCCAAAGTCAAACGGGCTGTTAGAGAGGAAGAGTGATTGTGTCTGCCTAAGTGTTGGGAGATGGATAGTCTGATCTCTGAAACTTATTTTTTCTCCTGGTTTGTAGAGGTGCCAGAATTCTGAGGCAAAAAGCAAGAGAGAGAAAAAGAACATTCTTTGAGGACATTTGGTTGCAATTTTACACCCAAAAGGACAAAGAGAGGGTCTAGTGTTAGGTCCTTCCATCTTCCTGTGGTATGTCACATACCACACACACACACACACACACACACGCACGCACCCTCACACTGTTGAAACCAGAGCTGCTGGCTCCAGGGAGGGGAGTGAGGAAGCAGCTGTGGACAGGTGTGGGTGGCCACATACTTCTCCTTTGGGAGGTGACACTTCCACTACACCTCCACAGGTTTCATCTGAACCTCACCCTAGCCTTGGCCCTGTGTGGTCAGGGTGGGCACGAGGAATGGAGGAACAGAGCTGGCTCAAATGCCAACCAGGAGGGCATCTTTAACACGCCCCTGAAATGCCGGTAGATCAGTTCTCCCAAGAATCAAATCTGGAGGGAACTCAGCTTAAAGATCAGCAACAGGAACGGGGCCTAGATTGCTGGGTGGACTTCAGTGATCCTGGAGAAGTTTGGGGGAGCCCCCATCCTCCAGCATATTGTCTGAAGGTAGGGTGTGGGAACAGGATAAAGTTCGGGGTCTGGACTGGGGAACTTGACCCTGGCAGCCCAAAGCATTTGGATCTCAGAATCAGGGCAAGGGATGGCCTGGCTGGACGTGTCACCCCCATTAGGCAGGGATTGGGGCTATAATTGCTGTAATTCGTTGATGAATGCAATTTGCAGCTGGCTTCTCTCCCTGTGACAGGCCTCAATTAGAGCTGCCAGAAGGATCTGGGATGGGAGGGGGAGCTGGGTGGTTTCCAGTGGCTTCTTCTGGTCCCCTCTCAGCTCTCTGCTTCACCCTAAAACAAAAGGGGGTTCTTTAGGCTGATATATTGTTACTCTCCCCTCACTCCTGAATTTGCCCCCTGGAAATCTGAAATTTTGATCATTTCAGAATGAGTGGCATGGAAGTTGAGAGGGAGAAAGGTGTAAAGGCAAGGATGTCTTCTTGTAGGTTGGTCTGGGAAGCTTTGGGTTTAAAAACCCAACCATGTTTAATTAAGTTTAGCATTTTCTCATTTATTTTAGAGCTTCTAAAAGTCCTAAAGGAAGGAAGGCTTTTGAGCCATAATACTTATTTCTGTCTCGTTGTCCCTGCTCCATCTCACAAGACAAAGGGAAAAAGTCCAAGTCAGAATGATGGTAAGGAGAGAGAGTTAAAAAAAAAAAAAAAAAAAAAACAACACAATCAGGTCCACACAAATATATAATTTTAATTTTAAAGGACTGCAGGGACATTAGAGATCATTTAGTCCCGTGGTTTTCAGACTTTTAAAAAATTTTTTAAAGCCGTGAGCAAAGAAAATCTAACATAGTATGTAGGACACATCATGACTGATCCAGTTAAAGTGTAAATGGGGGCTCTGAGCCCCCCAACTGTCCTTCTTCCTGAGACCTGCCCCCTACTTCTCACTGCCTCTATGACCTCCTTATGATATCTGACTTTAGAAAGTCCTGTGTCCTAAGAAATCCCTCAAACATTGGCAA